TAATTTACGTCATTTAGAAAAAAAAACTATTATGCTGATCTCATAACTAATCAGTCAGAAGAACTAGAAGAAGCTTTGGGATCTGTCATTTGGAGATTAAGATCAGAGGTGTATACACAGAGAAAGACACTTGAAATGCCAAATAATCTACAAGAGTTTCACAATACATTTTCTAGTCCTATAAAAGAATTATTTAATTATTTTATTATTTTTATTTTACAAAAAAAGTAGGAAGTAGTGCAAAAAAAAAACATATACATGTAGATTTATTCTTGCAGAATTTGATAATTTAAGGGCTATAAAAATTTCAACATTTATCATGTCATTAGTTTTTTCAATAGCATTTCTGGGTATAAATATTTGGTTTTTACATATAATAAGTTCTCTTTGCAGAAAACCAAACTATTAAGTTCACTTAATGTGATTTTATATACTGCAAATATGGTTTTCTATATGAACAGTTATGAAAGAATATTAGAAAAACAAAGAATTAATAACATCAATATGTCAAAAAAATTATTACAAGGAGAGAACATTTGGAACTTATGTATAATAGACAATCTTGATATGAAGAAAAGTATATTTGCATATGATAATATATTTGATGTTACAAGGTGCACAACACATGTCACACTTCAGATAGTTTTCCAGTTTAAACTACCACAACCATTATATAGTATTGCTAAACAATATAGTTTATTTGATAAATATGAGTTTTGGGTTGGGATGTTAGACTTTACAATAAATAAACTTCAGAATTTGAAAACATTTTTAGTACTCTTTTAGATTCTAGTGAAAGTTTTAATATGCTTATATTATAGCGAGAAATCAAAAATGATATTAAACTAGGATATCAGATAGATTTACCAAATGTTATTATTCTAGAGTCTAGAGAAAACCCATGTTGTAATGAATATGTTTATAATGCAGCAAAAATATATTATCATGATATTAGACTCAATAGTAATAGAAGTCTTTATTTAGCATCTGATGAGACCATCTTTTGATGACTTGTAATGTTGCATGTAACTCAACTAGAAATATCTTTGTTTCTAGGTAGATAGTATACATCAAAAATTATGTATGCTATACTGCTTCGTATCTTTTCTGCTTATGAAAATTTTAAATTAGCAGCTAATTTAGGGGTAACTTATTTAGAAAAACTTGAGAAGGTGGTTGACTATATGGCTACATACCATGTTCTAGAGTTATTGTGGATTGTGGTGGGTAATACTCTTTGTCAATATATAAAAAACTGTTTCATGCAAATGAAAAATATTCAAAATGGTAGTAATAAGGTAGTTAGGGTTTGGCACTTTTTTTTTGTTAGACGGGTTAATGGTTAGGTTATAAGCTTGGAATTTGTTATATAAATTATGAAATGCAAATAAAAAATCTTATTTCATTCTCCCTCTTTTTCTAGTCATAAGATACAGTAATTATGTCTAATCTGTTACATATTTCTTATCATATATTAGGAAAAATCCTATTTTACAACAAATACTTAGACATGTTTGTTCTGTAAACTTAATATGTCCAGGCTATTACTTTGCATTTGATAAGGCTTTTGAAAGATTTGGTATTAAGTTCGTAAAACAAAATATCAGATCTGTAATTAAATTAAATGAAGATCTTAAATCCTAAATTATTTCATTACAATCCGAGCAAGAATATTTAAATTTGCTTTTAAGTTAATATATTGATGAGAATTCATTAATTCTAACAGATAGATCTACAAAATCTTATGAAGAAGCTGTTCAAAATCTGGAAAATCATCTTGTAAAGCATTTAGTCTGCAAAATTCTACGCAACATCAACTTTTTAAAGAAACATCTCAAAATACTAATGAAGGGTTTCAATGCCTTTTTGAATATTATAATATAGGAATAGATCAATTAAAAAACATTTACAAGCAAGATATTGAAAAATCAATACCATGAGATAAATCAGGCAGGTGTGCTTAAAATATTATTGTTGAATTTTGTGCTTAAAAACAAAATCACAAGAAAAGAAAGAAAAAATAATATATTTTACAAGTAGTCACATTATATAAGTTTGGGATTGCTCACAATATATTTTTATTTTTTAAAAAATCATGTATTGTATATTGTTATATATCGTGTACTTTTTTTTTGAAAAAAATAAAGATTTAATATTAGAAGTTTAAATACTTTCTTGATATCTAATATTTTGGTTTAAATTTTTGCTTTTGCTGCAAAATTAAAATAGTTAATATAATTAGATTCTACTTAGCATATTTATTGAAAGTTGTGGCCTATATCTTTTTTACAAAGATGAAATATCTTGGTAGCAAAAGCTTCACGTGACTATACAGACAAATCTAAGTACAGTCAAACCTCCATAAATACAACATGTACAGACCAGCCTAAAATATGCGTTTGCATTTAAAGGGAGCCAATCAAATTGCAACTTTTAATATTTGATCTGCAGACTTGTATAACAAACTTAAATACTAACTTCTGATTGGCTATGTACACTTAGGGAGGTTAGTATGATATAAAAAATCTTTTGAGTGAACGTGCTTTTGCAGAATATAGAACATGCATTTAGCACTAATGATTTCATACAGCCAAGACAAAAACATGCATTTAGGAAGGTATTATATTTATAGAGGTTGCATTTAGAGAGGTTTGACTGTACATGTCAAGTAAGTTAATTGACATGTCAAATAAGAAATATCACTAAAAAAAATTTATAAAGACAATAATGATCCTTTTGAATTTTATTTTTAATTACTATAAAAATTTTAGATAACAGAAAATGCGATGCTAAAGAATATATATCTAGAGTTTTAAATAGATTATAACTTTGTATAAAATTCAAATAAATTTTTTTTATCGATTTGCATATAAAAATTCAATGTGACAAGTCATTTAACTATTAATAATTAACAGTATGTGTGATATTTCTTTTGACCAATATACACTTAAGCAATAAATCTTATGACAAAGTAATAGTACCCTAGTCATGGCAAAAAAAAGTTACTGTCATGTAATATTCTGGATCTAGCCAATTAGATAACAAGATCAGGTGTAATATAAAAATTAAAAAAAATTTCTTGTTAAATTTTGGTATATAACCTGCTATATTCTCAACCTAAACCTAACTCTAATAATAAGATTTATTACTTTAATTTATATACTATTATTGGCAAAACTGCCTGTTTATAAAAATCAAGAATCATGCAGAACGATGCATATAGGATACATGAATCATTATACAAAGAGCCATTATACTGCAATGCCCTGGGACCCATAATTTCCACTAATGATCATATAAAAGTAAACCTGTTTGAACCAGGTCCTCTGTATAGAAACATCAAATGATAATTCTATGAAAGCCAAGCCTCCATCAATGATCCCATTGAAGAAAGTGTTACTTACCCAATTCGGTTGACAGCTATCAAGGTAATATTACCTTGTCAGGTAAGGTGTATAGCTGTGAAAGCAAGGAGCACATGAATTGATAGAAGAGTCAATGAGTGAATCAATGGACTTGACGGATAAGAAACGATAACGCACAGAAGCCTTCATTGAACTTGCCTTTTTTTGCCTTCTCTTTCGATTCTGTCAAAGCTTCAATGAAAATGGCTGTAAATAGAATTTGGAAATTAGACCAAAAAAAGGTCAAATAGCTTGAGTCAATGACGGTTCAATGACAATTGATAGGAGAAAATATTCGATCTTGTTCTTTTCTTGCTCTGTAAAATAATTATAAATAGAAGGTGAATTTTTCTTATAACAAAATTCAATTCAATTAAGTGTAACCATCTGCCCTACTTATAATAAAGTTGCTAATAAAAACCTCAAGTAAAACTGAATCAAACGTTCTTTTAAACAAACTGTGCTGATTTACATATGTAATGATACTTGGTAGATGTCTTAGACCTGTGCCAAATCATTATCTGCCTCCCTCTCTACTAAGTGTTATTATTGGTGGTCCTGTCTATTTGACTCAATGACTAACTATCATTATCTTTTTGTTTGTGGGTATGTATGTTGGTCACTTACCTGCTAATATTTTTGGTAATGACTGTGAGATCGTATACTTATTGGAGGTTATGAACTATAAAGACTATAAAATTGAATTCGTCAAGCAATATCTAGGAAAAACAAAACAAAAAAAAAAAACCAAACAAACAAATCTTCGAATTGAAGCCTTACTAATAGTATTTGAAATATTAATTTTTTTAAAAAAGAGGATGAGACTGCAAACAAAGGCAAGAGATTCCAAAGGAATGAATTGAGTATTGTCAAGTAAAAAGAAAATGAAACAAATAAGTATTAGTGCAGAATAATAAAAAAAAAATATATATATATATATAAATATAATAAAGTAAAACTATATACATATATATATATAATACTTCTCAGACACAAGCAGCATATACTAACAAAAAAAAAAAAGAAAGACCTCTTCTTTGTTCCAATAAACTATATTCAGACAATTACATAATAATATAGTTAAAAGTGATTGGCAACAATAGAAGTTACCTTGTTATAGTATTATTGAAACACCCAATTTCAAGACCCATACCAACCTTATTAAACAAACAATAAACCCTGATTTTTAATATTCTTTTACTTGAAGATGGAATTACTAACAAAAAAAAAAAAGAAGGTATAAATATGAACCTCATGGAATCCAGGAGAACTGCCAACTCAAGTACTACCCCAACTACATTGAAGAAGATGACTTGTTGATCTTAACCCAAGAATGCTCTACCAATAATAATTATACAATATCAAATAATCACCAACCTGTTAGAAATAATCAGGACAATCGTAAAGAAGCAACCCAAAATCAAAGCCCATACCTATTCCATCTAGCCTTACAGAAAATCACTGCCACTTTTTGAGAAGCAACTGTGGAAGTTGCTGCTGCCAGGCTACTAGCTTAGGAAACCAACCTAGTTCGAGTGAATACGTTCTATAAAGATAAAGATGAAGACCCTCTAGAATAGGTAGAAGCCTTTAATCATGCTGCCAATACTAATAATTGGTCCTCCAGATGAAAGATTAAAATCACCTCTGGATATTTGCAAGGAATTGCTGCAAGCTGGTACGATGGAATAAAATACGATTTGATATATTAAGATTGAGAAAGTCACTCTAATGATAGTTTCATCCAATCATTTGTCCAATATTTTGCTACTTCAGAAAAGAGACACAAGTAGCAAGTTGATCTTAATACGTTGAAACAACAACCAAATGAATGAGTAGAGACATATGTATACAAGTTTAAAAAACTGTTATAAAAGGTAGATCCCAAAAATCAGTTGCCCTCTATATATGTTGTCCGAATATTCCTAGAAGGCCTCAAAGCCAAGATAGCAACCTGGTTGAGTATTGCTGAACCTGAAAATCTGGATCTTGAGATACAAGGTGCCCGTAAAATTAAAGCAAAAGAGTATTACAATACGAAAGGTGAAACCCAGGATAGAGAAGTTATACGATTGTCCTAGCAGATGCAAGTATTAACTGCTTGTTACAAGAAATTAGCAAGCGCAATAGCCACCTACGTCAAAGCAAGACCCAGTCAAACAATCATAATAACTATGCCAGGTGACTTGTTATAGGTGTGGGGAACTAGTCATATCTTGTGCAACTGTATATCAGAAAGAACCTCAAGACAAAACTAGATCCCAGTACAAGCACTACCAGCATTCCAAACTCTAAATCAAGTTCATATAAATCATATAATACAGCCTGTTTAGATCCTTCTCTGGCCCAGAGATGCAAACCACATGAGTGTGATTGATGAACAGGATGAGTATACCACCAATGGTAAAGTTTTCATTGTACTTACTGCCCGTCACCAGCTATATACTACCCAAAGATCAGGACGCTATAGGAAAATAGTGTCCAAACCTGCTAATGAGGAACCCCAGACCTGCAAACCCCCTGAAATAGTATCTACCATAGCCCTGACTAGTAGAAACCTACTGCTAATAATATCTGTACCAGTAATGCCTATTCTAGTAATGCAAGCCCCTATAGAACTCCCACTATAATGTTTAAAAATAAGTGGATTAGCTAATTGATTAACTATAGTTTTTTTAATTTCAACTATCCCTTCTCCTTGAATTTCAGCCAACGTCGGCAATTGAATTTTACATAAATGCCCTGATAAAAAAAAGAACCTTCAGTGGTCGACAACCTAGAACCATATAATATCGTGCAAGATTTGTTAAGTAGAAAAGCCAATATTATGATGGGCCAGATATTACAATACCCAGACCAACAATGTAATTTAGCAAACATGTTAAAAAGACCTCTCATACTAGTAGCTATTACAAACCCTTTGGTTAACCCCAGAGCTATAGAATAACCTCTGTACAAGCTCTGGTAAACAAGAAAACTACCCACCTGGTGTTATATTAAGATTAACAGTACCCCAACAATTGCTGAGCTTGACGCTAGTGCTGCCATAAGCATTATGTCTAATAAGATGATGGACAAATTGTAGTTATAAATTGATGAACCCTCTACTAATAGAACTAAAGTACGAGCCCTAGGAAGAATCACTAATCTTAAGTTGGATTTTGAGAATATTGTGATACTAATTACATTTCAGGTGATTGAGTCAACCAAATGTTTCCTTCTCTTGGAAATGGATTGGTTCTTGTAAACAGGAGTCTGACTCTACACCAATGAGAGAAAACTGTATATACGATCTCAGGATAAAATTGTAAAATTACTAATATTTTTTGAGGGCGAAGTTCTACTGGTTCTGTCACTTATATTTGTTGAACTAGAAGTACTAGAAGAATTAGAAGACCTGGGTCTCTTCGATAACTTCGAATTCGAGGATGAGATTTTGAAAGAAGCTGAAGAATACCTGGCTAAGCAATGTAATAAATTGGAATTATATGAAAACCTCTAGATCGATCACGAGGGTCTTTTGGTGTATCTGGCTGGCACTGAAAGTGTTCTGGTGGAAAATAACAAGGAGGAAAAAAGTGTAATAGAAAAACTGCAAACCAACCTTGATGATAAATTTTGACTAATATTAACAAGATCACGTGTGCAGTTTATTAAGTAAGGAAAAGAACATTTTTGCAAAAAGTGTGAGTAATTTAGGTCAAATATCGGCGTATATTCATAAAATAAATACTGAAAGTGCTAGCCCTATAAAGCAAGCCCCATATTATGCTGCCCTAGTATATGCAGCTTTATAAAAGATGAAGTTGAAAAGTTAAAAGCTAAAAGGCTTGGTAAAGAAACACCAGCTTCTGGATGTTTCCTGTTGCTATTTTCCCAAAAAAAGACAGTAAATTACACCTATGTATCAACTATTAGAAGCTCAATTCGGTCACGAAGAAGGATATGTTTCCTCTTCCCCAGGTTGATGATCTCTTGGAAGTTTTTGGATTAGTGATATGGTTCTGGACATTGGATCTCATGTTGGGCTATTAGCAAGTTCGAATTAAGGAAGAAGATACTAAAAAAACCACCTTCATTACAAGCTTTGGCATCTACAAGTTTGTGATGATGCCATTCAGGCTCTGTAATGCTCCTGCCACATTTTAATATATAATAAATAAAGTGCTGGCTGAATTTTTGGATTAATTCGTCATCATATATCTTAACAATATCATCATTTACTCACCATCATTTGAAGAACATACAAACTATTTGATTGCTGTCTTTAACAAACTAAAGGGAATAGGATTGAAGTTAAATTTGGATAAGTGTTATTTCTTCAAGTCTCATTTGCACTTTTTAGGTCATGTCATCGGTAGGAAAAACATAAGTCCTTATGATGAAAAAATAAGAAAAGTCTAGAATTACCCCATGCCACAAATGCTCTGATAGTTATAAGGTTTTCTGAGATTAGCCTCGTATTATCGAAAGTTTATTCCCAAGTTTGCTACTATCGCATGTTCTCTTCATTTGCTGTTACAAAAGAATGTTAAATACGAATTGGAAAAGGACCAGAAAGATGCTTTTAATAAACTAAAATGACTCCTTACTGATGCACAGATTCTATGTTATCTGAATTTTGACAAGCTATTCATAATTTATGCAGATGCCTCTGGATACAGGTTGGGTGCTATTTTGGTACAACAGAATAATCAAGAAAACAAGTACATTGTTGCGTACACAAGTTGTGGAATGACCAATACCAAAAAAACTATACTACTACTGAGCATGAGTGTCTCACCATTCTTTGGACAATTGAGCATTTTCGTTATTATGTCAGGTTAAAACCCTTTGTCATTGTAACTGATCACACTGCTCTGAAGTGGCTTCAAACTTCTGTGTTGACTGGACATCAAGCTTGATAGGTCTTAAGAATACAGTCTTATAATTTTAGGATCGTTCACCTGTGATAGCATATATAGTAATACTGATACGTTATCCTGAATTAGAGAACCCCTCAAATAAATTTTCTAATACTGTTCCTGGAAAAGAAATAAAAAATAAAGAAATCTGATTAGTCAAAACTGATATTTAAAAAAAAAAATAAAATAAAAAAATAAAAAAATAAAAAATAAAATAAAATAAATCTGGTCCCAAAAGAGATCCAGTCTAGGTTACCAGTGTCTTGGCCCCGTAATTGAAAAAAAAAAAAAAGAAAACAAAAAAAAAAAGAGGGAAAATAACAATAAACAATATATATATATATATCTATAAAAATAAACAAATAAATGACATCAAGATGCAAATCACTAACTCTTTCTGACGATCACTTGTACCAAACTTCTCTTGAAAACATTTGCTGTTTATCAAATATTTTATTAAGTAAATCACCTTTGGCTGC